CCTCCCTCCCTAATTGCCAGGACTCTGCGTCTGTAGAAACGAATCTGTAGGATGTTCTGATTTGCATTTTGCTGACCTTTCTGAAAAGATCTATTTATAAGATAAGGAAATGCAGTACAATACTTTGTAGAAGATTTCTTGACCTTTTCTGGCAATGGGGTAGCCGAAGATGAAGAGGTTTGTAAGTGATGAGCTAATGCCCTCCTTTGAGTAAGAACATAGGAAAGGTAAAGTTATATTATCACAAAATGAGGATACAAATTATCCTCCTAAGAGAAGGGAGGAAAGTCTAAGGAGTCCAGGGAGAATTTAGTTTCTGTATATGCCAAACACATCTTTCTGTACTGCATTCTCTCCCTCAGTAGGTGAATCTTTCTTTTTCTGCTTGTGTAGCAAACCAACTTCTAATAAAATTTCAATTCTTTTAACTGCTATTTATTAGTATTCACATTTTACAATAAAAATACTACTGACCGGGGAAGACTTGAAAAATGCAGAAAAGTAGAAATTAACAGAAAGGGGAAAATATGGCTCCTAGTCCTCTCTGCTAAACACAGTCATGGCTATGCGCTACTCACTGAGCTACTCACTGAGCTCGTGCCCTGAGGACAGGTTCTGGCATCAGACTCGCCAGGGTGTAACACTCAACTGGGCCATTTCACAGCCGTGAATTCACTTTCCTCACTTTTAAGATGGGGACATAGGGTTAGTATGAGGATTAAACAAATTAGTAGATGTAAAGTCTGTAGCATAGTGCCTGTGTATAGTAAACATTTTCTGTGTATTACTTCCCACCTCCTCTGTTTGCTCTTTGTTCCCCAAATCTTTCCTGCTATTAAGACTGCACCACCAGGCATCCTGCTAGAAACCAATGATTTGTTTATTAAACTGTGTTTTCCTCTAGTTTTTTAAATTTTGTGTGGTTTTTGCTATACTTTCTTAATGACTGAAATTATACTAAAACATAAGTATGTATCCTCTAACGCCTTCACACTGTGTTGTAATATTGTTTATTCATTAGAGTGATTGTTAATGATTGGTAAGCGCTGTTGTCTTCATGTTGCTAATTAGCCTGGTATAAGAGGGCGACACACAATTCAGATACGTGGATTTTTATGGTTAACATGTGAAATGAAGGACAGCAACATTTTTCGAAAAGACAAACATAAAGTTTTATTTTCCCTTCTAAAAATGAAAAGATATATATTTTGGAACCTTACATTTCTAGTTATATATTTCTTCTAGCTAGGAAGTTCTCCCATTTTCTTTCTCTTGTTATACAGTGCCTATGCATGTATGTCCAAGGCATGAGGCTAAGTGTTGAGGATGTCACTAACACTGAATAAGATAGTTTCCTGGAGAATGCAGAAGTTAAGAGACACTCAACGTGATGCAGAGGAAATACAGGGAAAAAAGAACTAACCCTGCCTGAGGAAGTTGAAATTTAACACTGGTACTGAAGCCTAAAGAAACATCTGTTGGGAAAGAAGGATATAGATGAAATAATCTGGGCAGAAGAGTTGGCAATAAGTAAGATTAGAAGTTAGAAGTTCTAGCACCTCCACAAAGCTCTGTGTGATTGTCCTTAGTGTGGAATGCATATGGGGCAGATGTCAGGATAGGAAACAAAGCCACCAATGCTGTTTCGGCCCAAAATTGAAATTCAAGTTTATGCTTTATTCAGTAAGGAAAAAAAAAAAGGAATAAATTGAGGCTTTAAAATTTAAATCAGGGGAGGAAGCTGTTTTAGGAGGATAATAATGATGAGAGAGAGGATGGACAGGAATAAGCTAGACTAGAAGTGCTAGACTGGAGGGGCTGGTACACAAGTAAATGAAAGTCTGACGATCTGAATGAAAGTAGGCCAGATTTAAATATGTTCTGAGGATGCTAAACTTCTCAAGTGGAAGAAGGGTCTGATGGTTAAGAACAAGCAGCAGAAGACCTAAAATTTCTGGCTTTAGGTGGGCAGATGCGTCATTTGTAGAATGAAAATACAAAAGGCTCTGGGGATGGGGAGGAGAGAGAAGGGAATGGGGGTCTGCTTAGAAATGCTGCATGCGTACCTAAGGTTGAGAAACGGGCAGTTGCAAATTTAGGTCTGGAGCCTGGGAGATGGAAGGGCTTTGGAATCACTCAATGATGCATTTCTTACAGTGGGTCCCCATTATGACAGTGTGAGATAAGGGTGCACCTATGATTTCAGCTGTCTGCTTCTTGTTTATTTATTGTACAAAAACTTTGGTGGCCTCAGCAGTTTTAGCAACAGAAATGTCAGAATAGCATAATATCGTGGGCATTCTCTCCTTTTTTTTTTTGTAAAAAAATGCCCAAATATATCAGCACCTAGAAATTAGATGAAATTCCTGTTTCTAAAATAGCCACATCACTCAACTCAATGTTTAGGTCTTCAGCCTTGGATGGCTGGCTCTACCAGCTCTGCAGCAATCTTTCCTTGCCGTGACCTGCACGGCGCAGGATCCGAAGCCTGGGAGAGCAGTGGGAGATGAAGAAATAAAAAAAGGAAGAAGCAAAGGCTATTCTTGAAAGTTGGGACCAGGTGGAACCACACCTTGTCAGGACCTAATGGCTGCCTGGAGTGCCACATGCTCTTTATTTATAGTGGAAGGCAAACAGGAAGAGAAGGGGGGCAAATAGAGCTACGTGGCCTACGTGGCCTAGGCGGAACGTAGTGAGATTGTTTCATGATTGGAGCGCTCGCAGGCAGGGAACAAGGAAGAAGGATACGTAATGCAACTGTCTCCTGGGGCTGTGCCAGTTTGACTGTGTGGTCTACGGAGGAGAAAGGGAGTAGGGAGAGGGCCCTGTTCAGGCTCGGCCCGCGGCATTTCCTGACCATTTACCTTCCTCTAGATTGTTCCCTTGGGAGACCTGGCAGGCCTACAACCTAGAAAACAGGTCATGCAAGATTTCTTTCCTAGACTCCGGTTGGTTTTCATCTAGAAGCTTGTATCCATGGAACATGAGTATAATGAGCACACCATTACTAATCCTCTGCTGTCCAGGACCTTCTGCAAGTTAAGAGCCATTTTTTCAACCCAATAGCTTCAACTCAGCTAATTCTCTTGACTTTACTTTCTGGGATCCTCTTTACAAACACCCATTATGTAACCAGTGGTGGCAAGAGAAGTTATTTTTCCAGAATCTTATGAGGGTAAGCCCAGATAAAATCTCAAGATTTACTACTCATGAAATTTTTATTCAGAGTGATCTTCTTAAGATGCACCACTGGAAATGGGTATTTCATAGCTGGGCATAGGGTGCTTTCCTGTAATCCCAGTACTCCAGGAGATTTAGGCAGGGGGATCACAAGTTCAAGTCCAGCCTAGGCAATTCAGCCAGACCTGTCTCAGGAAAGGGGGTGGGTGGTGCTAGGGTGTAGCTTAGTTCAAAGGCCATGGGTTCAATCCCCAGGCTTCAATACCACAAAAAAAAGGAAATAAGTTATGGGTTATTTCATACCTAACATGCAAGGAAGAGTAACATCAAGACTTCAGAGGCCTTTTATAATAGTCTGTGTTGATTTGAGATTTTAGCTGCATCCACAAATATGGAAAAAATATAACAAGATGATTTAGTAAAGTTCTGAATCTCTGAAATGCTGTTTGCACCTGGATATGAGCCCTCCCCACCCCTATTTTGACAGTAGTGGGGACTGAACCCAGGGCCTTTGCACTGACTACATCCCCAGCCTTTTTTATTCTGAGACAAGGTCTTGCTAAGTCACTCTAGGCTCCAAGCTGTGATCCTCTTGCCTTGGCTCCCTAGAGCACCAGGATTACAGGCATGTATGACCACACCTGGCTATTCCCAGCCCTTTTTAAATTTGATTCTCAGACATTGTCCGGATCTTGTTAAAATTTCCCAGGTTGGCCTCAAACTTGCTACCTTCCTGCCTCAGCCTTCTAATTACCTGGAATTACACGCATGCACTTTTTAAAAACTAGTTTGCAAATGTCACTTTGATACTTTCAGCATGTTTTAGTAAAACCTGAAACTCTATATACTGTCTCAGCTTTTTAATGTCCTGTGAACTTTGAAGAGGACTTAAGATCACAGTAGTACATTTCCTTAGACCCTTGGAAAGACACTATCAGACTATTGCAGTAGAGCTTTTAAAATCGATAATGACGTAGCAGCTAAGGCTACAAGGAGGGACAATTATTTGGGTGCCTCTGAGGTCAGGCATCTCATTTAAATTTGTATTTCAGGATAAAAAGAAGTTAAAAATCCTGATCCTAACATGCTTAGGTCTTAGGGCAAAAATTTGAATCTAATTTTGTCTATGTTAGACTAATAATTTCACCTCAAGGTAAGAGAAAAAAGTGAGAGTGTTTTATTTCAGCAGAGAGCAAAGCTACAATCTAGAAATAACCTGGCATATTCTTAGGCAACACTACTTGGAATAGCTAAGTATTTTTCTTCCGACTTGAGCAGGAAAAGTACCTTCTGTATTTCTCATAGAATTGAATATTGTGGGGGTTTTTTGTGTGCTATGCAGTTTAGGGTGGCCTTGAACTCACTCTCAGTCCTCCTGCATCAGCGTCCTAAGTGCTGGGATTATGAGTGCTGGAAACATGCCCATCTTGAACATCCTTACTTAACAATATGTAACCAAACTGAATTCAGTATTTTGCTTTTAATTATGTAATTTACAGTATAAATATTGTTTTAGTTTCCACTATGGTCTCTTAAATATATGGCTGTATGCCTATGTATCTACATATATATTTCTGTGTATCTATCTATGTTAGCATTAGGTTAATTTTGCTCTTAGGTCTGATTAACCGGTGATGAGGTACAGAACCGCCAGATGGTGACTGCAGCAGAAAGTAGCAGCCACTTCTTACAAAATGTTTCGACTCTTGTTCACTTTTGCTAAAGTCTAAAAATGCTTGATTTTGATCAGAAATTTGAAAATGACACCTGTAATTATTCAGCCCATCTTAAAGTACGAATAAATCACCAGTGACAGAGAATAAAGTGGTTTATATTACATTTAATAGTGTTCATAGTGGAGACATTTCAAACTTCATGAAGGACAACTACAGGCAAAGTATTCAATGTAGAACCCAGTACAGATTTTGGATACATTAGGAAACAAAGTAGTCTAAGAAATATTCTGAACATTGCTTTCAGGGAAGATAATTTTCAAAGTTGTTTGAGGTGCTGTAATACGTCAACTGAGATTCCCAGCTGTGTAACTAAACTGGCTGTCTGTTCTAAAATCCAGGGGAGGATTGGGTTTGCAGAATGTGCAGGTTCTTGTGTTCTGCAGCCTTCTAAATATGAACAATCTGCCCTGCTAGGACTGTTGCCACAGTTTTTGTTAAACTCAGCATTATTTTCATAGAGTCTTTCATCTTTAGCTTCATCCATCTTCTCAGCTGGAACTACATGACAAAGGTCCATATCCTCAATGGAGTCCAATAAATCTCCAACATTGGGCTGGGGAGGGACTGATTTCAGATGCGCGAGCACATATTCTTCACACTGGCTCACTGCATCCAGGAGATTATTTATCTTACTGATCAGAGTTGAACTATTATCATGAAGGTGACACCAGGAGAGCAGAGCGCTGAATGAAAATTAAAAAAAAGTTTAAATAGGAAAATGTTAAATAGTCACAGGCTTTTAGAATATTTGATGTTAAGCCTTACATGTTTTTCTACCAGAAAACCATGCAAAAATGGATGAATGATAATAACTTAGGTCAAAATCAAGAAAGTAATGATGGCAAACAGGATTAGCACATTCACAATGGGGCTGTAACACGTATGTCTCGCTGTGCTGTTGGTACATGCATGTCTGTCCCATTGGGGAGTGTGGGACAGCCCCATCAGGTGGTACAAGCTGCCTGATGGGACAGTCATGTGTGTACCACCAGTGGTTCAAGCTGGTGGAAACTGTTAAAAAATGTGATCTTTTAATAAAAATTAAGCGAGCATACTTAATCATATGAACTGTTTATACCTCCTTCTTCATAGCTTTTTATTATTTTGGATTTTCCCTAATGACCATGTAATTTCTGGTGCAGAGGGATACAATTTAGAGAAAAATCGGAAAAATTAGTTTCTCCTTTAAGGACATCAAACATTCTAAATCACTGATTTTTTTTTTTTTTTTTTTTGGTTGTTGTTTCTGAGACAGGGTCTCTGTAGTCCAGGCTAGTTGTAAACTATGTAGCCCAGGCTGGCCTCGAATTCACCACAATCCTCCTGCCTCAGCCTCCCAAGTGCTGGGATTACAAGTGCATGCCATTATGTCTGGCATTAAATTATGATTCTTAATCTTGGCTACACATTAGAATCAACAGAGGAGCTATAAACTATTTCCTTGGAAAAGGTAAGAATTATCCTAGATTTAATATTTTTTCTTACTTTTCTAGAACTGAACCCAGTGGCAAGTCAGTTCACAAACTTGATTCTTTCCAGGATTCTGGTCTCAAACTGAGCTGGATGAAAACAGAATCAAATTCTAGGTTAAATTCAAAGTTGAACTTATGGGAAAATTTGATTCAGTTTTTGTCCAGTTTGATTTGTGTGACCAGAATTGTGGAAAGAATACTTTGTGAACCGAGGCACATACATATATATATATATAATATTTTGCCCATACAGTTCATCCTTACCCAGGGGCATGGTAATCTTCTCTGTATCGTTCCAATTTTAGTATATGTGCTGCTGAAGCAAGTACTCCCCACACATTTCAGATTGTTCAGAAAATCAAGTCATGTCAAAAATAATGGTTATTATGAAAAGCAATTTTCTGGGGGGCGGGGTGCTGGGGATTGAGCCCAGAGCCTCATGCACACTAGCACATGCTCTACCACTGAGCTACATCCCAGCTAAAAAGGAATGTTTTTAAAAATGGAATCAGTTGTTACAAAAACTTCAGCAATAACTATTCTCAGCTTATAAAAAGATTAATTTAACTTGATGATGTGAAGATGAACACTCGATTATTTTTCTACCATAATAGACTATAAATTCTGGTCCCTGTCAGTTGCATTTTCTGTAAGTTCAAACACATGCCTTTGTGTTTTGTTTTGATGGCTTTCTTTTATCTTCTTCTCTTTCAAAAATAGTGATATGCTGAAGTATTTTATGTTTTTCTCTCGGGGGACAGTTTAAAAGACATAAAGCATCAAAGAGGACAGGTCCGTCCTGCTCTCAGCTCCATGTTATTTGACCAGTTGATCCTGCTATATGCCATTACTGCCACGGATTAAAATACATGGAATCATTTTTTCAATTACTAACTATAATTTTCATAATGTACTTCTGGTCTGTTGTACTGTTTTACCACATGTACAAGCACTAACAGCTTTTATTCAATACCTTTTTTTCAATCTTTTAATTAGAGACTGGTGATAGTTTGGGTAGCATAAAGTATACACCTTCTTACCATTCCTTTGCAAAAAAGGACAATATCCGGTTTACATACGGAGGAGGATGAACTGGCAGTAATTTTAACTTTACAAAGGCAGCATCACTGTGTGCTCTGATGCACTCTTGTGTATGCAACACTAGGAAAAGCACGTTAAACACTTCATTTTTACATATTACTTTACAAAAACTACTCCAGTATTGAGGCTAAAATGATTCAGCATTTAAGTTTTTAAACTTACCTCAATGTTCCTCTGAGTTGTCCATAGTTCATAATGACTTCTGCACCTTCCTTATAGCCTTGATTGAAGCCCTGTTGAAGAGCAACTGCTTTACCAGCATCTACTCCATCTCTATAACCTTCCTAAAATAAGCAACGAAGAACTGCAGCTGTAACTACACAAAGTGAAGCATATGTAGGCTTTTCTAAAAAGGCACACAATCAATTTATAAAACAGATGAACTTGGCCTTTCTGTGTTGTTAAACATACTATGGCACAGGCACAGAAGCAAACAAAACAGTTTCTCTGCTAACAACTTATTATTGGTTTATCTTTTTTTATTCCACTTTTTTTTTTGTACCGGGGATCTGACTCAGGACATCGCACTTGTGAGGCAGGTGGCAGCACCACTGAGCTAAATCCCCAGCCCTCTTATTCCATTTTTTAAGTCTAGATTTATTGGGCAAATTTTAAACATATTTTGTTTGTTTTGAGACAGAGTCTCCCTAAGCATAATTTAGGCTGCCCTTGAACTCACTAGGTATATGTAGCCCAGGATGGCCTCGAACTTGTGGTTCTCTTCCTCCCTCAGCCTCCTAAGTAATGCGATTACAGGTGTGGACTTCCATGCTCAGTGGAACACAATTTTAAAAAACTCTGTTAGCAATGTCTTCACAGTGAGGAAATTGCATGTGGCCCTTGGCAACTGACAGGAATGGTGTGGGTGGATAAAAAGGCTGGCAAAGTTAGGAAAGAGGAAACAATTTTAGGAAAAGGAAAATGATAGGTCTGGCTTTAAAAATTTTGTTTGATACCCAAATTCAATGAACCTGGAGATTCTCAGTGGGTAGAGATTCTGCCTTGTATCTCCCAAGGGGTGTCATGGCACTCACAAGATGCTCAATACTTCCAGGTCTAGTCCGAACCTCCTGGAAAGCATTTTTGTAACTGACAACATGGTTTCTGGACTAAGCAAGTATTATTTTACTGAAAGATTAAATTAGGGCGGATCCCCAACTGCAGGTGTATGGGCACTTTAATGGTTGGCAGATATGGGAATGCAGATCTTACCACTTCGTTCTAAATGCTGACCGATCCACCTGGAAATTACACTTAGTTTCAAGGAAGAGTGAGGCAAATTAGGAAAAAATAGTTCACACTTAAATAAAATGGAAATCAACTTTAATATTCTCTTATCTAGACGGCGGCATTTCACCCTAGCTCTCCCCTACTGCCCTGAGACAGCATTGTCAAATCCGCCTTTCTCAAATATTTCGATTAGTGTCATTCCTAACCGGGATCCCTACTATTTCAAGGAGCACCTACGAAGGGCATCGCGTCCTTGGACAGTCGTAACGAGCGGTTCCCATTTGCTCCTTCCCCACTCTTCCCCTGTGATCTTCGCTGAACTGCAAACTCTTTAAAGTCTGGTTAAAGTTTATTTTGGTAGGTCCGCGGCTGCGTCAGGAGCTCACAACACGCTTTCCAGTTACACTGGGAAACCCGGGCGTGATGGGGGAGACCCGGAGCAAGGCCCGGGGCAGGGGCACTCGGGAGCCCGCTCCTTCACAATCCCAAACCACTGTCCTCACAGCCCAGCACCCCAAAGGGCTCCCGCCGCCTCCGCCCGCATTTACTTTGACTCGTCTCTGCATGTGGCTCCGCCATTCCCGCTGTACCAGAAGCGACTCGTCTGCTTCCTCGTCAAACACGTCGTCCTGGTCTCCAGCTTTCCCACCGGCCTGAGCAGCTTGAATCCACGACATCACCCAGGCAACCAACAGAGTCGCCGACCACCGGAAACGCCAGAGAGTCCTTCCGGTCCAGGGGGGCGGGGCGAGGACAGCCAGCCGGGCTGGGCGTGCGGCTGCGCGTGCAGGGGCGGGGTCCGGGTGGGCTTTCACAGGAGGCGAGTTTTTTGTTCTTGGTGTTTTGGGGCTCCCTCATGGACTCTTAGCGCGCACGTTTTAATGCGCGGATTCCTCCCTGGCTGTTCCTCATGACCTTGATCTCCGCGCAGGGCCGCGCGCACATCGGGTAACGCACCAAGTTCCCATCAGGGTCTCCAAGTTTGCTGTTAGGAGGCTCGCGCTTTGGTGAAACCATTCATGGTGTTGGCATGACTGCCCAAGACTCCTTTAGAATCCCCTCGGTGTGTTTAAATGTTACGATCGTATAGCCAAGAACAATAATAATTTAAAAAATTGATTCTGCTGTCCATTGAAATAGGAGGGGCACCCTTGTAAAGTCATTACTTTTTTTTTTTTTTTCCATTGATTGGGAACATCCTTCCCTGCCTTGTGATCTAAATGTAAGGGTTTGGGTTGGGGAGGTGGGTCGTGGTGCTCACACTCAGTCCCCAGGCCCGGTAGGAGCCAGGAGGGGAGCTGGGTGTTGATGACTGAGTGGACACCAGTATCTGTCTACCCTTTGCGTGACTAAAATGCGTCACGTGATCATAATAACCTAACATTTTCTTGAATACCTAATTTGTGTCAGGCACAATTTTAGGCTTTTGAGATACAGCACTAAGAAGTACAGACCCTTGTGGACTTTCTGGGAGCACAATTGATAGAGGATGAGCCATAAGCAGTGTATAAACAACTCTTTTTAAAAATTATTTATTTACTTATTTTGACACAGGGTCTTGTAGTTTAGGCTGGCCTTGAACTCACTATGTAGCCCAGGCTGGCCTCAGACTCCTGCCAATTCTCCTGCCTCTGCCTCCCAAGTGTTGGGATTACAGCTGTGCCCGCCTTGTGTATAAACAACTCATGTACTTGGAAGATCATAAGTGATAAATGCTATGCAAAAAATTTAAAACAAGGAAAATAATAAGAGTGTGTGGGGAATTGGGGTGGTGGTGGTCCAGGTTACAATTTTATTGTTTTTTGTTTTTGTTTGTTTTTGGTACCAGGGATCGAACTCGAGACCTTGCACTTGCGCTGCAGGCCCTGGAACGACTGAGCTAAATCCCTGGCTACAATTTTATTGTTAATTTAGTTGTGTGTGTGTGTGTGTGTGTGTGTGTGTGTGTGTGTGTGTGCGCGTGTGTGCTGGGGATTGAATCCAAGGTCTTGTACCTGCCCTATCACTCAATTACACCCATGCCTAAAAGTTACCATTTCAAATAGAATTTTGGCTACAATTTTATTGTTAATTTAGTTGTGTGTGTGTGTGTGTGTGTGTGTGTGTGCGCGTGTGTGCTGGGGATTGAATCCAAGGTCTTGTACCTGCCCTATCACTCAATTACACCCATGCCTAAAAGTTACCATTTCAAATAGAATTTTGCATTCAATGAATAAAATTGACCCAAGAAGTAGAAAAGAGGAAGAGCCTAATTACAACAGAAAAACTGGAGATTAAATGTCCACTATAAAAAATAACATGAGTAGGTTCACTGTTAAGTCTTTTTTAATCTTTAAAGAATGATGGATAATTAAATATTACTTTTACTATTTAAGACAGAGAAAAGACGGAAACTCCCTAAATTATTTCATGGAACCAGCCTTATTGTAATGAGATAGTATCAAAAAATTTAACAACATTCAAGTTAGTTTATGAATGTATATCCAAAAGAGAGTCAAGTACCTCTCCAAAAGAGTAAGTTAACAAGTTTTATTCCAGGAAATGAAAGTTCGCAATATTAAGATATCTGTGACCATATTTCATTGAATCAACAATTTAAAGAGAGAAAACATTAATAAATGCTGAAAAGTCATTGGAAAAATTTAAAAATCATTCTTGGAGATGATAACATAAAATTATTCTAAAACAAACAAAATAAGCATAGACTACAAATTGATAAGGACTGCCAAGAATCCAATAGCAAGTCATATTTTAAACACTCAGATGTTAAAATATTTTCTTCAAAGTAGTGTAGGGGTAGAGATGGATAGGCAGGGTGAGATGAGGGACTCTCCCCCCCAAGGAGTTCAGGTAGCTAGCAGAACAGGCTTAACCACTCGTGAAAAGCTGACAGTCTGTGGTTGCACCTCCTCTTCACACTGTACCCTGAAAAGCTTGGTTTGCTAAGATCAAAAGGAAAAAAACCTTGACCCTCAGGTGTAAAAGGCCCCTGAAAAGACCCTACCCTGTTGTCCCTAGTAATGAGCTAAGTTAATCATTAACCAATCAAGTAGGGGCTGTCCCAGAGCCAAGATAGGTCCCAACCGGTATAAAACCAGCATCTTGAGCCCCCCTTCATCGGTGGTCCCGTTTTGGGCACCCCTGCCTGTCTCTCTGAGAGAAGGCAGCTGTACTCTTTCTTGCATGCTTGCTGAATAAAAGTACAACGTTGCTTCTATGCTTTTGGTCTTTATCTGATTCTTCCACAACCTTTTGTGTTGTTGTGAGAGTCAGGCTTGGGACTACGGGGACTCTCCACCTGTCTCTGCCTGCAACAGTAGCCATGTCCTTTCTGTGGCCCTGAGGGCTGAACATGGTCCTACTAATGCAAACCGACAAGACTGTAAACTGTTACCATTACTGTGTGATTTTTAGCGGTGCTTTTCATCACTTGATTGCCCAGTACTCCAGTGTGGACTGTGTGGGTGACAAGGGAACACTGCAGTAGAACCCATCACTCAACAGTGGCATGGGAACCCTTGTGTATCACATGTTACGTGTATAGTGAGACTTGGCAGTCACTAGTATTTCAACCTATCTACACGCGTGTGTGCCTGTGAGACAGGCATTTCTCATTTAATTTTTAAACTTGGATTTGTAGAGTTAATTTGTAATAATACATTAAATGTAAAAAGGGGTGTTTTTGGTACCAGGGATCGAACTTGCGCTTGCGCAGCAGGTGGTGAAACCGCTGAGCTAAATGCCCAGCCCTAAAAAGTTTTTTTTACTTATATATAATATATGTGTATATATATATATATTCCATTTTATATGTGGCCCAAGACAATTCTTCTTCATACAATGTGGCCCAGGCAAGCCAAAATGTAGGACAGCTATGCCTTAAAGTTAGAAATGAGAGGACATTTGGTGACTGCCATTATTATTTAACATTCTTTTGAAAAATCTTTTAAAGGAAGGTAAACAAAATAATCTGTATACATGTTGGATAATAAAAGATAAAGTTGTTTCTTTTTGCTAATTCTATGACTGTATGCCTACAAAACTCAAAGGATTTCAGTTAAAAACAACAAAATGAGAGAATCTTATAAGGTCTATGGAGTAAAATAAACAGATCAGTGATCTTGTTCTTTTCTAGTAATAACCATCTAGAAATGTAAATGAGATAGAGTCCATTGCAATACCAAAAGCTATTCAATAGGGTATTTATTTACATATTTATTTAGTATTTAGGATAGATTTATAAATGCCAGAAACATTCTTTTACAATTAGACAGTAACATACATATATTGTGAGTGTACAATTGGATGAGTTTTGACAAATATACACTCATGTGTATACACATATAGAAAATTTCCATCATTCCAGAACATTCCCTCCCCCTCCTTTTCAGTCATTTCCACAGCCTGGGCAACTCCTGATCTGATTTCTGTCATGGATGAGTTCTGCTAGTTTTAGAACTTCATAGAACTAGAATCATATATGTCCTTTTATATGTCTAACTTATGTCAGTGTCATGTTCTTAAGATGGTTCAAGGGGTTGCACGTTCCACTAGACTGTTCTTTTTTATTGCTAAGTCCTATTTTTTTTTATATGGCTGTACTCTGACTTGTCCATTCACTCATTGTTGGAATTTTAGATGGTTTCCAGTTTGGTGTGGAGTCACAATTAGGACTATATGTAATTATTGAGGAGTCAAGAGCATAATGCCCATGAAAGATACAAAGAAGAGAAAGCATGCATGATTGGGCAGGGTGAGCCTTTTTAGGAAGGGAGGAGGAGGAAGGATCGGGTGGAGAAATCCTCAGATTGCTGTGTAGATCTGACAATGTCTACATCAACATAGAGGGAGCTCTGGAGCAAAGAGCAAAGGAGTTCTGCCTTTGGCCCACATGGCTGGGTTTTATTTCTGCCTTGCTCACTGCATGGCTGGGGATGCCCAGGAGGAGCGTGGCCTCTGTGAGAAGTCTGGGATAGGTCCAGTAGGCATCAGCAGTTGGAGGAAGGCAGTTCACTCTACCTTCAAGAACCGGACGCTCTTTCAAGGTCTTTTCAAGTGTGTGATTTTATTGTTTCCAAAATGGTAATGCTCCTTTTAAAAAAATGAATTGTAAATAACGATGACATCCCCTGCATAAATTCTGGTGTCACAATGTGAACTTACAGCAGAACATTTACTAAACTTATCTTGCAGCTCAGTGTCTCTTACATAAATATGCTGTAATGGGGTCAACCTTTAGGATTTGCTGGATTTTTCTCCTCATTCTTCTGCTTATCATTCATCCTTGTCTTTTCTTTCAGAGGCTTCAACAATTCTTTTTTATGTTCTTCTATTTCCCATTTCAGTCTCTCATCTTTATCTCAGTCTCCCACACCTTAGTTTGTCTTTTGCAAACCACTCTTTTGTAGTTGACATAATGAACTCTTCAGAGGGCAAAGACCTTTTCTAGAATCCTCTTCCAAGTTCTAACATACTGACTTTAATCATTCAGCCTTTGGAAACCAGCCAGCCAGCAGAGCTGATTTCCTTGAGGCAGGCAAAGTAGTTTTCCCACTTTTCCTTGTTTCTTCTAAACTTTCATTTGCTCTATCACTGGTGGTATGCAGCAGCTAATTCCTTTGGTGCTGTCTTTTATTTGCTTGCATCAGCTTTGTTCTGAGGCTATGTAATATGTATTACAAAATAAAATTGTTGCCAGTGGTGAAGACAGATAGGAGAACATTTGAAATACAGCTTCTAAGGAGAGGGCT